AAAACTCTAAGAATTCCTTTTTTCCTGTGTAAAAAAAAAACGGTTTTTTTTGCCACTTTTTCAAGTTGACGCCCATTTTGATCAGACGAATATCATCGGGCATTTCGGTGTTGTATGCTGTATCATTAGTGATAATTGAATTCACAGGAAAACTAAACTGATGCATTGGTTTATGTTTTATCGTTTCCCTTCGTTGTCGTCGTCCTATGTTTTGTTTTTAAACAAAATTTAATAGTACGGCACAGAACAGAATGGGACGGGAAGGAAAAAAAAAGCAATTAAAGTAGCCTTATAAATATTGTAAACGTATAGATAAAGTAGCACCAGTTTTTTGCTGTCCTCATTGCTGTAATCGTAAAACAATTATTCTGTAAAAATGGAATTTGAACTGCAGAAAAAAAAGGAGAACATTTCAATAAATTGACATTACTAATTTTAATGCTTATTAAAGAAGACGGAAACTGACCGCAAATAGAGAACTGTTTTTGACCGCAGAGAACAATGACCGCAAATAGAGAACTGTTTTTTTGTTTTCTGAAAGAGACAAAAAAACCAGCAGTAAATTTAGTAGTTTAGGATTACTGTTCATCTCAACCCCTACTCCCTGGTCTTCCAACGTCTTCCAGTAGTGATACAATTTGTTTCAAAAAATCTGTTCTGCTCTTCAATCATTCTGTGGCATCCAAAGTCAACAAATCGGTTTTCTTTTTTCAACCACAACAAACCACTTATCATCTATACAACATTTATCATCAGCCAACGAAAAAGAAACCTACGAATTTCAAAATGTTATAAGAGCACAGCAACTAACTGTTTTCTCAGTAGTTCTGATTTCTAGTCTTAACTGTTTTGCAATCCTGGAAAAGAAGAGAACAAAGTTTATTTATGAAGGGAAAATATAGAATGAATAAATCAGTGTGAACAAAAACATTGTTAGTTGATTATTTTTATCAAAAAATTTCCCTATTCCATCTTTAACAATTTTAAAAAAAACGACAAAAAAAATTGCTGCAATTTTCTAATTTTTTTTTATTCCTTGTTTCTTATCTTTGAACTTTTCACAAGAAGCAGCAATTTTAAAATTAATTGTGGTATTTCTGTGATAGCGAAGAGAATGAGTAAATTTTTGGAACGAAATGTTGTCCTACTTAAATGTGCTAAAAAAACCACATTTTCTACTTCCTCCGCCTCTCGCTTTGAGAAGCAATAGAAATAATTTGAGCATAATAAGCTGTCTTTTTTTTTTTCAAAAACATCTACTTTTTAAACAACTGTATTCGTTGTGTTATAGTTTGGTTAAATGATCAGAATAGCCAAACTGTCCTAAAGTTCTAAGCGTGGAAGCTCCTGTATCTTTTTGATTAACAGGGAGAGCACAAATCACCCAGAAGCGGTAAAAGACATTTGTGGTTTAGAATATACACAAAACTAAAGAGGAAGTGGCAAAAATTGGAACTACGGAATCTAAGCGTAATGTTTTTGTAGTACGTCTATTTTTCTACGAGCAATTTCCTTAAAATCATATTACCTAAGAAATCTCAAGTTTATCGTTTGCTTTAGAGTAAGTTTAAAAACGAAATAACACTTTTTTGCTTTGAAAGCCAAAACCTCTGAATTTGAAAAGTGCTGTAATCATAACTTAGGAAATAAACTACGTTAGCAAAACGTTCTTTTACTAATGATTTTAAAATCATGGTTTATTATCATCCAATACCTCAAAATCTGTTCGCCCACCGCCAATATACAATATTTTGAAAGGCAGTGGTGACTTTTTAAGTACAAATTTTCATGATAACGATTTTTTCTGCTAATTTGCCTTTGTCTCTGAAATGACCTTCCAAATTCCGCTTTGTTGTCTCTGAACAGGGCACTTCTTTTCTGTCTTGCTTTTTTTCAACGATAGTAATGGTTCTTAATTCATTTCGATAATTAGGTATCTGATGAAAGTCCCGCTGAAACAATAAATTGACCACCAGATCCTGTCTTTCGCAACAATTTTCAAAAGATAACAATTGCTTAACATCAGATTCTATTTAAACTGACAGCTATCACTTTTTGAAAAAGAAATTAATGGTTTACAAACCCGATATTATTTACTCCTAAATTGTGCTTGAAAACCGTCATTTTTTCTAATTTCAAAACAGTCAGTTTGTTAAGTAACAGTTCACTATATTTAAAAAGCGTGTTTGAAAACCGGCAGTGCCAAGGTTTGGCAGTGTGTGGATTTAAACTGTAAAACTTTCTTGATTTGACAGTGGAACAGAAGTCGTATTTAAGATATTAAAGATAGTATTGTGAAACCTAAAAAGCAACAGGAAAAAAAGTTAGTCGATTAGTGCCTGGAAATTATGTTGCAAACTGAAAATCAATCCAAGACTATGCCTCAACAAAGACTCAGTTATAATGAAGAACTGTAGAAAAGATCAGCAAATTTTGCAAAACAAGAAGACTTTTTTATCAAAGCTAATCTACTGTAAATAATCATAACTGGCATCATTAAACCACTCAGTAACGAAGCAAACAGAAGCGGCGATTACTGACAAAAGTTTTCAAAAAATAATTCATAACAACAACTGCCGGTACTGTTCCGAAAATAGTAAACCCTTTCTCAGCTTCTAGTCAAGAAAATAATGTCAGTCATTAACATTAATAAGCATTGTAAACGACACTAGTTTAAAAAACTTTAACAATTAAGTGGAAAAAATGGTAAGCACAAAAATGCACAACAAAAGCCATCCCAACCAGTCGGCGAACATGAAACTGTGAACTGCTCAATTAATCACGGTGATAAATGGATTTTTGAGAAAAACAGGTGTTTATTAAGAATGTATTAAGGAAGCAAAAAGTGATTAGAACATAGAAACCTAAAGAAAATTAGATAAAAAAAAGAAAAACAAATGACACTTAACGCAATAAATTATCTGCACTCATAATTCTAATCTTGTTCAGTAGAACAACTGCAATTGTTCCGCTGTCAAAACGAATACAGTCATGCAATTTTGGGCAGTCTAGTCTAGATTGATCTTCCCTTTCTTGGGAATGCACAATGCCCGTGTCTTTCTGCTCAATGCATAACAACTGATATCACGTAGTTGTAAGATGAGATCCCTCGATAAAACTAAAATCATCAGAAATAATGCCCAACTATTTTTCCTCCCTGTATCTAAACATTGTAGTATTTAATTAAACACTAAGTTGTTTTTTTTTGTTCCCACTTGCGAGAAAAAAAAAGAGGGAAAACTATCTGATCGACATCATACTGCCCTGCCACAAATAATCCGATAATCGCTTTTAGATCTGCCAGATCAAACCCTTCAGTTTTCCCAAGCAGCCAAAACTCGCCAGACATTTCACTGGGTGACCGCCAAAAAAAAACTTCACTGGTCTTAACTTTACAGATCACATGCAAACAATACCGCCTAAGTCGTTTAAAAACCAACTAAACAATCGGTTTCAAAACTGTACCAATTGACCACTGAAATACTGCGCCAACCAAACTTAATGCCTTGTTGTCTGTACCAAAAGCTCCTAACATGTCTCCGCTTTTAAAAGATAAAACTAGCAACTCGCGACTCGTACTCAAGAATTGAGACACGACCAAATAGACGAAGAAAACTCATTATTCGTCGACGACTCGATACATCCTTTATGAAGAGCAAAAAAAACGTTAGAGTGGAATAACCGTAGAACAAGGTATACGCTGACATAAACTCTTACAAATTAAAAAATCAAATTTATTTCTGCACGAAAACAAAGGAGAAAGCAAAGCGTTTAGAGTTCCCATATTGGTGAGAACTATATGTATTCGAAAAAAAGTAAGATACATCTAACAACAACCACAATAAGTTAATGAATTTAGAGAAGTAATGTAGAAGATATTATAGACGACCAGTAAGATGAATGGTTTTTCAAACACTCAAATCTGCGCTAACTACTGTGATCCAACGGGTTTTAAAAAAATTGCAGTGACAACAGCGGAAGAGCGAAAAAATCCAAACTGCATTACGAATAGAGATCTTCGTTGTCATTAGGTAAGCCAAAGCCATCCTCCAAACCACTTTGTTCTCCACCATGTTGATCAGGAAACCTAAAATTTTTTCCAGACCCAAAGCTCATCACCAAGTAAAAAGTTACAGATAAGCAGAAGCTGATTAATTAAATACGGAATCCAAACTGACTTAAAATTGGTACCAAACCCCCTTTGCTGCTGTAAGGTCTGTGCAAAAACTTCATATTTTCTAACATCAGCATCAGAAACCGATCGTCGAGCATACTTCATTGCCTAAAAATTAGGAGGAATCAGAGTGGAGTAGCGATAAATTAAACATAAGAAACTAAGAATGAAATATGGACTTCTTCAAAATGAGCTCTCGTGATTTCTGGAACGGGATCGTACTCGTCGTTTTCGTCACCCATAACTTCACCAACTCTTAGTTTTTCTTTTTCGCGCTCCACTTCTTTTTCAATGCTTTCTCTTATAGCCAGTTTGCAAGCCCGTTGACATATTTCAGTTAGATCTGCACCTGAGTAACCCGGTGTGATTCGAGCTAAGCAACGAAGATCAACATCCTGAATAAATTAAAATAACAATGAAAAAAAACTCCAAATTTCCGGTAGCACTGTAAAACAAATCAAGAAACTTCTAATCAAAATGACTGGAAAACACTGTTGTCAGGATAAGCGCTAACTTTAGCAATTGGAGTCTTACGAAGAGCAGCATGAAGGATTTGTACGCGACTGAGTTCGTCTGGTAACGGGATGTATATCATTTGATCCAACCGGCCGGGGCGTAAAATTGCAGTGTCAATTATATCAGGCCTAGAAGAAACCAATCACATAATAGATCCAGATCGCTTTATCGTCATACAACTCAATACGTGTCTACTCTTATTACTACTACTTTAGGGACATCTAAATGTATAAAAATCCCAAAAAGCAACAACGAGGCTAAAAACCGAAATCTCATTGTTCAAAAGCAAAACGAAAAAAAATAACTAGAGACCAATAAAATTGCTAATGGAAGGTTAATAAGTAATTCCCTAAACCTGCAAAAAAAATGTATTCTTAACAAACCTATTTGTTGCTCCTATTATAAAAACATTTTTTTTGTGTGACATCCCATCCATTTCCGTTAAGATCTGATTGATAACCCTGTCTGCAGCTCCTCCACCATCACCGACACTCCCTCCCCGTGACTTCGCTACAGAATCCAGTTCATCGAAAAAGAGGACGCAAGGTGCGGCAGCTCGAGCCTATCAGGAAGAACGGCAGACGTTAGAGGAAAGAATACGAAGAGTTGTAGGTCTCAAAAAAAAGTGAAATGCTGTATTATAATACCTTGTCAAATACATCTCGAACATTAGCTTCTGACTCTCCAAACCACATTGTAAGTAATTCGGGGCCTTTTACAGAAATAAAATTAGCCTGACATTCATGAGCAATAGCTTTGGCCAGAAGTGTCTTACCACAACCCGGTGGTCCATAAAACAAGACACCACGTGAAGGTTGCATCCCAAACTTAACGTACTTTTCAGGGTGTTCCACCGGATACTAAAAAATGTGTCGCCCTTCAAATGCTCGTAGAGGAGCCAGCAAAAAACTAAGTCGACGTTAACAGCTCACTTGAACAAGCTCCTGAAGTTCTCTCTTTACGAGCTGTAGACCACCAATATCCTCCCAGCTAATGTTAGGTGTTTCTACTGTAGTCTCACGAAGAGTTGACGGAGTTCCTTTGCTCATAGCAAACTAAATAGGGAAAAAAGTACTAATAATATTGCGGAAAAATATTTTGTAATTGACTAGCCTGGAAATTCTCCATTGTCACGGCAAGTAAGTCCAGTACTTCGGCATCAATAGTTTCATCTTCAAGATCAATCAGTTCCATTTTTTCTCGAATCTGCTGCAGCGCTGCTTCAGAGCAGAGTGAGGCCAAGTCCGCTCCAACATAACCATGGCATTCATTTGCAACCCGAAAAACCAATGTTCTACAAGTCATTTGCAGAAGTTTGAAGTAAAACAGGTTTAAGATGTAAGATCTGAACCTGCTCCAGATCTACATCATCGTTGAGACGCATATTTTTCGTATGTATTCGGAGTATTTCAAGTCTTCCCACTGGATCTGGTATGCCAATATCAATTTCTCTGTCGAATCGACCAAACCTGCGCAATGCTGGGTCGATTGCATTCGGCCTATTGGTTGCCGCCATAACTAATACATGGCTGCGCTGTTTTAGACCATCCATAAGAGTTAGCAACTGCGAAACTATTCGGCGTTCAATTTCGCCATGCGTCTAAAAGAAAACGAGAATTGTGATAACAAAGAAAGTAGCTGAATCAAAAGTGTTTCTCTTTTGCATAAAGCAACTGAAACCCATGACTTTTTAAGGCGTTATGTAAGGCCTTATGAAATGATTAAGCACAGCCGAATATGATGAAATGAAGACGTTAAGAATCACTTTTTCTCTTTTCGGAGCAATTGCATCAAGTTCATCTATGAAAAGAATTGAAGGGGCGTTGTTCTCACACTCTTCAAAAGCCTTTCTCAAATTAGACTCTGATTCTCCAGCCAATTTACTCATGATCTCCGGACCTTAAAAATCAGGTGAAGAGCGTCTCCAATACTCCTGTAGTACTGAAAATCAGTAAAAAGTCAGTATTACAGCAAAAACACTCACCATTGAGAAGAAAGAAAAAAGCACCCGTCTCATTAGCTACTGCTCGAGCTACAAGCGTTTTACCAGTACCAGGTGGACCGTATAACAAGATGCCACGCGGTGGCTAGAACTGAATAAACTTAACAAAGAACGGCAATTTTTCAGCACAGTTTTTTCTTCAATTTTCACCCACTGATGCAACAAAATTGGTAAAGAAGCTACTGTAAACCAGTTGTTAATAAGCTAAAAAAATCATTACAACTGTTAAACAAATCTTTTTGGTGAATCTACACAACACAAAAATGATAAGTAAAATCATTTACTTTCACACCAATAGCTTTGAATAGTTGTGGATGTCTTAAAGGAAGTTCAACCATTTCTTTTATCTGTGCAAGCTGCTTTCGCATCCCACCAACATCATCATAGCAAATATCACTCATACTTTCTTCCTCGTCTTCCCTCTTTACTGACTCACCATCAATATAGATTTTAGTATCTGCAGCCACAATGCAACATGGAGCAGGGTCTACTTCTAAGACCTGCAAATTTAAAGAAAAAGTAATCGTGAAATAAACCAGGCGATTACATGAACAGACACGTGTCTGAAACAAGTAGCGAACCTTAAATTCGACTGTTCTCAACGCAGCCTTAACGGCAAATATGTCGCCTATATGAATAGGTCGGTATGTCTCAACAAAATATGGCTTCAGAAATACGTCAAATAAGTTCCTAAATCAACGAAAAAAGTATTGGTCTAATCAGAACAGCAAATTTAGGAAAATTGGAAACAGAAATTGTTGAGTTGAGTTATCAAACTGGCCCACCCTGTCAATCCTTCAATTGTATCATCAATTGGTGAAACGTGAATCTCCTTACCATAATTGACGTTTGGTGCTGAAGATATGCTAAAATCATGCCTGGTCAGAACAAATTAAAGAAAGTATAGTGTAGTCAGCCAATTCTAGAACTACGGATGAGAAGAAATACAATTGCCAGAAAAAAAACTCCTTAAAATAGAAAAAAATAATAATTTGTGTCTGCTTCCATAATAGAACCACTTTTGTGAAAGGAAAAAGTGGTGCTGTTCCAGAAGCACTTACTTTATGAGATCTGTATCGACGCAAAACTATCAAGAAGTTAATGCGTCTTCTTATATCTCAAAATGAGAAGCCGTTGTGGAACAGTATGACGGAATATGCTAAAATAACAGATATCCGAAACTAAAAGTTACCGCACGACATCGCCCAAGCGAACCCTCAAGTTATTGCGCACACATTTATTCATTAAAATTTTTTCATCCGGACACGTCTCGTCGGACAAAGCAATACACACGGTTTCCCTATGCCTCTTGCCTTTTAGAATAACCGTACCCCCACGATATAAATTCAGTTCGTCCATTTTAGCCTGCGAAAAACTAATTAATTGTAAATAACAAAACAACTTAAACATCTTTAAGCCAGTAGCGCTGTTGTCAAGGCAGATGTAAAGTTTCGTGAAGTACCTCTGATATGGTGACTATGGAATTATCATCATTAGGTGACCGGTCGACAATCAGACGATCTGGCCTAGCTTTTTGTTTCAATACTGCTGTAGCCAATTCTTCATGTCGCCTTGTTTTCTCATCTAATTGCCTAAAAGATGAAAAAAAAATTATGCGTGAACCCCTCTTTATATCCAATCGACAGTAAATTAATCACAGTTCCAAAAAAATATTTTTGATGCGTAAAAGTGTAGTATAACTTACATGGGAATAGAAGCCATGGTTTACTGAACTATACAGTCATGAAATAGCCCTAACTTCACCAACATTAGCCGTAGGCGCGCAAGTGTCCTATAAGTAACAACGTAAATGGCAACTGGACTGACATGAAGTGACAGTCCGTTCCTCAAGTTGTACAAAGAGTGTGTCTGAACGCCTTCCAGATACATCCTGCTGGCCAATTTGGTTGGTTTTCGTGAACAGCACACCATCATAGAACCGCGTTGTGCAATAAATGGCAACCAAACTAGCAGCAGTTTTCGATTCTGGGAGTATGACGCGATCAGACACGCTATCTGTGCCAATTTCTGCAAGCAAACACGTCTTTTATTCATGCCAACCTTAGTCGATAAGTAACAGCAATATTCTCAAGTTAAAATAATATCAAGTAATTAAGAAATCTTCCACTAAACTGCTACAATAGTTCTTAACTATACGACAAGCTTCTTTTTTTCAAGTATGGGCCATCCTAAGCAGAAGGTTAGGAAAGCATTAATAAAAATGACAAATTTTTGTGAGAAAAATGAAGAGCTGGAAAGGTTCTAGCGTCAAAGAATTCAATCTAACCTTTAATTGGTATATTACAATAGTAACGACAACTGTCAATAATAGACCGCCTTAATACTTAAATTGTTAAGAGCAAAATGACGGAATTTTGCACCTATCTTTCTAAGATTACCGGTAGTTAACAGTAACAACAGTGATAATCAGTAACGCCAGTGATAACCCAGAATACATCATTATAGTGTTTGGTCGAGGGGTAACAGATTTAGGAAAAACTGTCAGTAAGAAACAAAAGAAGAAGAAAGAGAACTTAAAATGACCATAACAGTCCACAGAACTGCATGATACATCTTTTGCAACGTTGACAGGGGTTCCGTCATTGAACCACACCGCTGGAACGTTGTCATCATCGGCGCCGTAAATAAAATTTTTGCTGATTTCTGAATTACACTTAAGTTGCACACATAATATGTCGTGTATACATCGGTATGTTACTTGTTAAACTCAACAGACTTCAAAATTAAGGAGTGAGTAAACGATATCAGGAAGAAAAGAAAAAAAAAGTCAACAAGCGGCTTGAGTATACACAATTTGTTAAGCCTTCTCCAAATCGTTCAATCAGTGGTACAACATTAGCAGTTTCTCCAATGCTTACTGTAGTTATCCCATTGAAAGAAGTTGCTGCAGCAACAAAAATTTTTTTGTAACGGCAGTTTACACTATTCGCATCTGAGCAGTTTAGCAGATTCTAGAAATTTTCAAATTAAGGTGTAGAAATATCCATTTTTAGATCAGTCAAACTAATAAGACTTCAAATTCCTGAAGTTGAATTACGGCTACTAACTTGTTTTCAAGAGAGTCACTTACTTGGATATAAAATCTGTCTGCTCGACACGCTAACCCTAATCGGTCCTCTAAAGTTCTGCTACGACTAACTTGCTGTTCTGTTGCTAACTTGTAGTTATTGTCTAAAAACAAATATGCATGCCTTGTTTACTGAATTGACTGTTAGACTGATACCTGTGATGTGAACAAATCTTTCTTTTATTTTGTGTGTTTCCGTAACAAGCAAACTTTTGGTTGTAAAAAAAATATTGCCTCTTCAACACTCAAGGTTTTGGAAACGGACTGAAAACTCAGATTTTGAGTTTCAGCTGGTATTCGCACTACTTATATGGACTTGCGTTTCAAAAACCACAAGTGGCGAGCAGAAAACTTGTAATCAACCAGTCATCATGAATATCCGTTTTGTAAACGACCGCATAAACCTGTGTTGAGACTAAAGAAAGAGGAGGAACGATTTATGCTACTGTGGCCCTGAATTCATACGTCACCGATGCGTGAGAGGAAACAAAAACGTTTGGTAGACGATGTCAAGAGTTAAAATCAGCTCATCAAACTTGACGGTTTCGTGAGTAACAAGACAGAACAAGACAGACGAGGAACTATTTTATGTGTGGACCGTACACGATAAGGTCCATTTGAAAACTAAAGTATTTTAGTTCTTAGTACAAAAAAAGAAACTAAATGCGTACAGGTGTAAAAGTAGCATCTGCAACTGAAGTTTACTGTACGCCGTTAAATAATGCTGTTTCAGAAGGTTTAGATAGAACACAGCGAGATAAAAAATTGCACAATAACTGTTCAAAGAGTAATTTTAGCATGCCAACCACCATCAATAACGTTTGCAAATTGCATAAACTCAGATTCTTGAAATCTGTAGTTGTCTACTAGTTTATCAAGTCCGCAGAAGTGTGAAGCCCACAAAAATCATAACTTCAACATCAACGAGCGGCTAATTCAATTAAACACTGTACTGACATAACGCGGAAAAACACCGTACCGATACTGTAGGGGTTTACGACAAGTTTCAGCTGGTTGACACAGTATCTTCGGTTAAAGTGGTTCAAGTATTATCTGCTGATCAACAG